GAATGGGCAAATGTAAGAACCAGTGGTAACCAAATCTAGAGGAGAATAAGAGAAGGGCATTAAATAATAACTTATAGTTAAAGAAAAGGTATTTATAAAATGTAGTTGATCCTTTAGTTTAAAGAAAAACACTAAAAGGAATTTATTTCTTTAGCAAGACAGAGAAACTGACAAGACTTGTGCTTTTTCAGGGAGGAGAATTTAGTAAAAGAAATTTGGTTATAAGAGTTGGCAGTGATGTGGGCTGAGGTTGGCTCAGTGGTAGAGCACTTGCCTAGCACGTGTGATACTCAGCACCGCATGTAAATAATTAATAAAATAAAGGTCCATCAGCAACCAAAAAAAAACAAAAAGAAGTGGCAGTACACATTTTTAAAAATATGAGAATGAAGTATCACTTTAGGAAAAGCATTGATATCAGTCACTCTCAGATTTGACTTGTGTCATCCCTGTTTAATTAAAACACATTGACAGCTCATCTGCATTTGCATCATGGGAATGAGGCAAGAAAGAATGGAGAGCATAGCATGGCTTTAGGGTTCCATTCTGTTGACCCTTAGTATATGTGACAGAAAAATTCAAAATGGTTGACTCTGTAAGGGAACTTAGTAATAGGTATGAAGCTTATTGTTTAAGAAAGAAATTTGTGATGTGTGTACCAGAGAGTGGTACCTATTACAGATATGCTTTAATATTCTAATAAACTTAACTTTTTAATTGTAAAAGCAATCTGTGCTCATTATCTAGTGGTGGTGCTTAGTCTTTGTTAGCCTTCACAGTAACCTGCTATTTAATTTCTCTTCTAAATATTGAGTTTTAATAAGTACTGTAGTTACTCTTTTCATCATTCATATTGCACACCAGGAATCAGGAACTCTTGGGTGGCTTCCAGAAAATTTATTTCCACTGTAGGCCTTATTTTCCTCTTGGCCTCTAATTGAATGGATTCCCTTCTAGTTCTTCAAACCTGAATTAAATGGATTCCCTTCTGGCTCTTCAAACAGATTCTCATCCTAATCTGTTCATATTGTCAGTATGCTTATTTTGCCACTAGATGGCACAAGTGTACCTTTGAACCTTTTCACCTTTGGGTTTTCAGAATATGGGAAGTCAGAAGAGCCTTGGAATTTTAGCCTAGACCACCCGCCCTCACTTAACACTTGGGGGACTGAGACTCCAGTTAAGTGATGTGGCCAAAGTCATACAGTTCCTCAAAATCTCTTAATCTCTGTTGTCTGTCTTTCCCCTCTTTTACTCTCTAGGTGGCTTTGAGAGGAAAATTCAGGGACCATATTTCATCAGCATGTTTCTTTATTAGTGATTTTAGAACTAATTTTAGTCATTTTTAAGTATAGATATCATTACATTCAGAATAAACATGTGGCTCCTTGTGTTTTTTGTTGGCTTCCTCAGAGATAAACAGGAGGCTGTTTCTACAAGTCATTGCTACCTGTAGTTGGCTTGCCTTCTAGATTTGCCCTGGAAATAAGCTCTACATCTGCAGAGACTCTCACCAAGAGTCTTTCTGTCAATGATTGTCTTGTTCCATTCTTGCCCAGTTCCTTTGATAAAAGATTACCTTTCATCTTTTCCTTCCAATTAACTATGGTTGTTTCTTCCTTTGCTACTTCTTTGTCCACCTTTGTAGCCAACGGAGAGAGCCTTTGGGGGAAGAAGGATGCCTGTGTTTTTTAAAGCTTGGCAGTTTTGGGTGTGCCCAGCACATGTTTACTGCTCCATTTCTTTCTATATCCATGACAAAGGTGGTATTGCCATGAGTCATGCCTTGTATATGGTCAGAATGGTGCGGGTTTTAGTGAGATGTAGCCAAGTGGAGAAGATGCTGGCTTTGGGTCACCTGATGGGGTTGAAATCTCTATTCCTTTGATATCGCTTAAATGAGGATGATAGTAACTACCTTACAGAGTTTTTGTGAGGAACACATGAGGCAATATATGGAAAGCTCATGGTGTCAGTGCTTAGCACACATGGTAGATGCTTTATTAAGTGCTAATTATTCTGGTTGCTACTGTATACAAAGAAATGAGAGTAACTATAGTATATGAACAGTGAGAACTCACAGGATGCATTCTAGGGGCTACGAGAAGTATTTATTTATTATTTCAGAGAAGTAGCATAGACCTGTGCTGCCCCCAGTGTAGCAGCCACCAGCTGCTTGAAATATGTCTCATCAAAACTGAGACATGCTATGTCAGACACACATGAGATTTCAAAGACTTGGTATAAAAAGATGAATATAAAATATCTCAGTAATTTTGTACATTAATAACACATTGAAGTGATCATCTTATTTTGTATATGTAGAGTTAGATATTATTAAAATAAATTTCATATTTCTTTTTACTTTTTAAAATGTTGCTAATAGAAAATGTAATGTGGGCTAGCATTCTGTTTCTATATGATAGCTTTGGGCTAGTTAAGAGATTTTGGTACTCAATAACTTAACTCCATTTTGAGGACTTGTGGGAGGGTTTGAAAGACTTCTTTTGATTTTTTTTTAATTTAATTTTTTTATATTATTCTGTTCTTAAGAATATGACCTTCTTCAGTCCAGAAGGCAGTCATTATTGATAATAATAATTTAAGTAATAGTTTAAGATGAAAAAAAGAAAAAGGCTAAAGAGGTACCACATATTCTCCTTTTCCCCAAATTCTAAGGATCTCAATTGAGAAGCAAGATATGAATGATTCAGTGTGTCAGCCATAAGCAAGAAGATCCTAGAGTTTTAACAAAAAGAAAAAGGGTCTTGTACAATTTCAAAGACTAAGGTGTATACAGAGGTCATTGCCCATCATAATTATATGCTGTCAGTAGATGAAATCTAATTAATAGTTAACTGATTCTAGGATGTCCTTCAATGCAAATTATTAAGACAACTGCAGAAATAACCAAGAGTGAAAGAGTACCATGAAAATACTTTATAAATCATGTCTGCTTTCTAATACATTTGTTTTGATTTTAAGATACTGTTTACAAAACATTAACTAATTTTTAAACCCCAAAAGAATAAATCTTACCACCAGTATGTTTTAGAGCTATATGGAGATTGCTAATTTGGGATATTTGCAATCTTTGTAAATCTTTTCAGGTGAACTGAAAAGTTAAAAAGTTCTTTACTTAAATCTTGATTTTTACACTGGCTGGTTACTATAACAACTCATGGAAGAGATGATTTGTCCTTTGGCAATGTAGAAAACAAACAAAGCACAGGCATTTAGAGAACCTCAGGGCAGTTCTCACTGTTCTTAATCTAGTACCAGAAGGAGACAGCACTCATTCCTAGTAAACCAACTACCATAATTCATTGTTTCTAAGAGGCCATCAATTATAAGGGGCACCCCGTTAAGTGCTGCTTCATTTAGGGGGAAGAAAACTGCCAATAAAACTCTGATGACTTGCATCTCTATTTCAGAGATGTTGAAAAAAATAAGTATACCTTAGAATTGATAAAATATAACCAACAGGTTTTGAAACTTTTCAAACACATTGGAAGTTAGAGGACTTGTTTTTTATTTTGGTTTTTAAGTTAACATCAGACTTTAGGTCCTATCAGAATATATCATGTTCAGTGAGAGTGGTTAGGCACTGAAGCTCTTTTCATTTGGTTCTATAAATAACCAGAAGAAAGCTAAGTAGTGAGCTCATTTTTAAGTTGCTGGAAGTCCCATAATTCAGAAAAGTGAACTTGTAATTCTAGTTTCAACCTAGTCCCTCTGTTTCTCTCAACTCCCATCAGACACACATCTTCCTTCTTTTCAGGCATTACCTATGCCTCTAACAAAATCTGTCCTCTATATAGTAATTATTTATAGCCTCTTGTGAATTCATTGTAAAGAGTTAAATTGCCCAAGGATGTTTGCTTTCTAAGCCTTATCTCTAATTATCAGCTAAAAATCTTTATCTGCTTAAAGAACTTTCAGGCCTCAGCTGGCCATATGGAATAAGTTTTGTGGGAATGGCTAAGTGAGGGGGGAAATGGAGGCAGCCTCCTCTTCTGCCTCTGAGGAAGGCTGGGGATAGATAATGGAGCACCTCATTTCCTTTCCCACCAAAGTGCCACTGCCTCTGTGCTGACGGTAAGAAGATAGACTTCCATCTGCTGCTGCCCTACAGTCTATATCTGAAAGGAAAACAAACTTAACTGGTAATGGCTGCTTTTCTGACTAATAGGATTGAATTTTTATCAGCGTTATCTCCTTCTTGATAGGGGCTATTGAATTTTAAGGAAATTCTGTGATGGAAAGAATTTTTTTAATAGTTCGAATAGCTATTTTACCTGTTTTCCCAAGCTCAGTGTTCATTTTGCATGACTTTGATAATCCAGATTCTGAGCCAGTGTTGCCCAAATTATTTTCAGGGTCTGGCAGTGCAGCTCAGTAGTAGAGGGTTTGCCTAGCATGTGTGAAGCCTTAGTTTTTATCCATAGCAACAAACACACAAATCAGGCATGCTTACACAGATAGACTTTAGTCTAGTTTGGCTCTTGTTAAACTGCATGAGTTGTGAAGTAATTGAAGGTGAAAGCAGAAATTTGTCTTTTTATGTTTGTGATGTATCTATCAGTTGCAAATTTGCCATTTTAAAGAAAAAGTTGTATACTCCTTTTACATAGAAGATGCTCAGGAAAAATGTTTGATTAATCCCAAATTTATAATATCAGGCTCCTAATATAAAGGCTTGTAAACAAAGCTCCCCTTTGCATCTAAAGAACTTTGTTAGCATCAGGTTTGATCTTTCTCAGCAAAAAATGTGCAATGACGTTGCACATGCTTTCATGTTATATTAGCTTTGCAAATTATATAGAAAAATCCATCTTCATTACTACTTACATTTAAACTAAATGTAAATTAAATGTTTATTATAAAGCTCTGCATTCTTTATGGTAAAATGTTGAACTAGTATCTTTAATAATTTTCAGATTACATCCTGTAAATGTGTCTCTGTGCATTTGAATGACTGTGTCTTTTGGTCTTTGCAGCTTGGGGTGTGGTTTTCTCTAGGCTGTGCCTATTTGGCATTGGAAGACTATGGAGGCTCAGCAAAGGCATTCCAGCGTTGTGTGACCCTAGAACCTGATGTAAGTTTGTTCCCCTATCTTTTCTTTATTTCAGCTCCTTAATATTCTCTTAAATTATCTGAATTGTACTGTATGATTCACAACAGTAATTTCTTTTGTGGTGGAAAAAAGTATATATTTCATAGAAGGTCACACCTCAAAATATAGGATTTATAAGTCTGGAAATAGATTTTTCTCATAAAAACTGTGGTTTCATTTTGAAAATAGTTTTATAAAACAAATTTTAGTTAAAAATGTACATTGCTGAGTCCAGCCAAATGTCATGTCTGTTTTATCATTTGCTAACATACGCTGCCTATGTTAATTGCATTACTAGTAGGTTCTTTTATTGGGTAGTATTTTTCTATTTAACAGCTTTATAGAATTGATAATTTATGTATAATTGAGCAGATTTTCAGTACGTTCAGAATTGTGAATTTTGCAACATTTTTATTGCCCTTAAAAGAAACCTTGGTACCCATCAGCAGTCATTCCCCATTTCTCTCTCAACCCTTCCTGTCCCTCTCTAGCTCTAGGCAACCACTGATGTACAGTCTTTCTATAGATTTGCCTATTTCAGACATTTCATGTAAATGAAGTCAATATTCGAGCTTCTATGACTGGCATTGTTCACTTACATTACTATTTTTAAGCTTCATCCATGTTACAGCATGTATTAATACTTCATTCCTTTTTATTGACAAGTAATATTCTATGATGTAGGTGTATCCCACTTATCCATTTATCAGTTGATTTGTTTCTACAATTTGGCTGTTATGACGACTACTACTATGATTAATATTCATTTACAAGTTCCTGGTGACACGTTTCCATTTCTTTTGAGTATATACCTAATGGTAGTGTTGCTGGGTCATATGATAACTCTATATTCAAACTTTTGAGGAACTGCCAGACTGTTTTACAAAGTAGCATTTTATATTTTCACCAACAATGAATGAGGGTTCCAAGTTTTCAACATCTTGCCAGCATTTGTGTATTATCTGCCTGTTTTGACTATAGCCATTCTTGGGGTGGTATCTCATAGTTTCAATTTGCATTTCTTTGAGGGCTAATTATTTTGAACATCTTTCTATGTAATAATTGGCCATTCATGTATGATCTCTGGAGAAATGTCTGTTCACATCATCATTTGCCCATTTAAAAAATTCAGTTAGTTGTCTTTGTGTGTGTGTGTGTGTGTTGTGTGTGTATGTGTGTGTGTGGTATTGGGGATTGAACCCAGGGCCTTGTATATGTGAGGCAAGCACTCTGCCAACTAAGCTGTATCCTCAGCCCTGTTAAATTGACTTTTTACTATAGAATTATGAGTTCTTTATATATGTTAGTTTTAAGTTCCTTATGACTTAGAAGTATTTTCTCCTATTCTTCCAGTTGTATTTTCACTCTCTTGCTAGTATTCTTTGGAGCACAAAAGTTTTTAAGTTTTGACAGTATCTAACATTTTTGTTTGTTTCTCATACTTTTGTTCTCATGTCTTGAGGAATCCATCGCCAAATTCAAGGTCATAAAGATTTACTCCTACTTTTTCTTTTATAGTACTAGCCATTACATTTAGATTTAGAGACCCTTTTAAATTAATCTTGTGTGTATGGTATAAGAAAAGGAGTCCAATTTCATTCTTTTACATGTGGATATTCAGTTGTCTCAGAATCATTTGTTAAAAAGACTATTCTTTTCCCATTGAATGGTCTTGTCACTCGGGTCAAAAAATTAACTGACTATAAATATAAGGATTTAATTATGAATCATAAATTATTTGATAATCATAAATTATTTGAAACTTTGTAGTAAGTTTTGAAAGTAGTAAGTGTGAATATTTCAACTTTTTCTTTTTCAAGATTGTTTTGACTATTCATTGCTCCTTAAATTTTCATATAGAATTTTTGTCAATTTATACAAAAAAATGCAGCTGGATGTGATAAGGATTATATTGAATCTGAAGACTAGGACAGGGAATATTGCCATCTTAATAATACTAAGTCTTTCATCCCACAAATATGGAATGTCTTTCTATTTACTTAGCTTTTATTTAATTTCTTTCAATATTTTATAGTTTTCAGAGTATAAATTTTACATTTCTTTTGTTAAAGTATTCCTAAATATTTATTCTTTTCATGGTATTGTAAATGGAATTGTTTTCACAATTTTAGTTTTAGATTATTAATTTTTCTGTAGAAACATGTATTTTGGTGGGATGGGTGGCAGGGATTGAACTCAGGGGCACTTAACCACTGAGGCACATCCTATTTTGTATTTTATTTAGAGACAGGGTCTCACTGAGTTGCTTAGCGTCTCTCTTTTGCCAAGGCTGGCTTTGAACTTGTGATCTTTCTGCCTCAGCCTCCTGAGCCACTGGTTTTACAAGTGTGCGTCACCACGCAGCCAGCCAGCCAACCAACCAACCAACCCACCAGCCTTCTTTCTTTCTTCACTCCCTTCCCCTTCCCTTTCTCCTTACTCTTCCTTTTTTTCCTTCCTCCCCCTCTTCTTTTTTTCTTTCTCTGAACGTAGGGCCTCATATGTGTTAGGCAAACATTCTGTGACTGAGCTGTACCCCCAGCCCATGTCTTCATCATTTCATTTCTAAGTTTAGAGTGTTAATATCATATTTCACCAAAATTACTTTCTGTGAAAATTATGAACAAAAAATAAAGTTTATGATGGTAGATCTTTGTTTAAGGTGTTAGAGAGCATTTACACTCCAGCTTTTTAATTATCACTTTTGGTCTTTTGGATGTGCATGGAAATTATTGCAGTTAGCCAGTTATCATAAGTGTTTAGATTATAAAGTAGTTTGTGTTTAAGGAAAAGGATTATTAATAGGCATTTACTTAATAGACTCTTGAGTTTTGGAATCTAGCTTTCATCTCAAATGTAGACCAAATTATCTAAATATTTGTAATGGAATTCCAGTGCCACCTATTTTTTTTT